GGCCACTTTATCTTTTTAGTTGTTGGAGCTCCCACGTGGTTCTGCTGTCCGTATCCTATATACTTTTGTCTACTTTTGTACCGTCCCCTGCTTCGTTCTCCGACCTTGCTTGTTTTTTCCACCTGTCCTGACCTCTGCTTGCCTATTGGATTCCCTGTGTCTTCTCCCGAAATTGTACCCTGCTCCCTGCTGGTAGCAGTCTCCTCCACCTAGCAGCTGGTGTACCTGGGGGCCACAACCTGGTCCTAGTTGCTGCAAGTCCATCCCCTCATCAGGGGCTCTGGTGAACAAGCAGGCTGGGGCTTAGACTCCGTCAGAAATGCCCCTGGGGCATTCTGAATTGGAAGAGGAGAATGAGTTAAAGTTTGTTATCTCTCCCCATAAATCTTTACAACAGATAAAAATCGCAAGTTGAGGATCCATAGAGCTCACTAACACAGGTGCTGACAGTAATTAGCAGCTTTTATACTCTACTAAAATAATGTGCATGTTTGATCCTATCTGCTCTGATCCTCCCCATGTACTTCATCTCCTGGAACGACCAGATATAGCATGCTCAGTTTGGTGGGTACTGCTTGGAGTTTTTTTCTTTTTTTATCATGTGATCAGCACAGGGCAACACAGTCCAAAAGAGGGTCAGGGGTTATGCAAAGCAAATGCTGAGCAGGATACAAGTGTTGCTCATCATGGAGAAGACTGTCGCCTTAATTGTCCATAGACTGTTTTGGCTTATACCCCTATGCAGTCCTGTTCCTGGGGGTCATGAGTCGCTCTATGGGCGTCATCTGCTGTCCTCTGGGTTAAATTTCCCGCCTTCCTCACATGCCTCCTAGTTTCCTGACTATACTAAGACAGGCTCAGACTAGGCCACTTACTCACAGTTGTTGGAGCTGACGATATGACTGTCATTCTGCCTATAACTACTGGCACTGTACCGAAAGAATCTCCGACCTTGGAAGTCCTGACCTCTGGGATTCCCTGTGTCTTCTCCCGTTGTAGTGCTCCCCGAAGTGTCTCCTCCAGGTAGCTGGGTGTAATTGGGGGCCACAACCTGGTCCTATTTTTTAAATGCTGGAAGTCCATCAATAGAAAATAAATAGCTTGGAGTTCTACGTTTAACATCCCTTGAGGCCATAGAGCTCACTAAACAGGTGCTGAAATAATTAGCGGCTTCACAGAACTGGGCTTCCAGCATAAAAGACCGCAGTGTCACTGAGAGCCCGGGTCCCGTTCTAACGATCTGGACCCGGGACTCCCGATTCCGGGTCACATGATCACTGTGTTAGCCTCTGATTGGCTATCACAGTGATCAGTCACTGTACAGCCTGGCCCCGTTGTTTTTTCCTCTCTCTATGAATGGAGGAGAGAGATACATTGTATCTCTCTAACTCCTGGCATAGATGGGAAAAAAAAATGTGTTAAAAATAAAAGAAAAAGATAAATAAATATTAACAAATAAAATAAAAAATAAAGAAAAAATACATAGATCAAGGTTTGATCTAGTTCAGTGCCAGGGTAAGTGTTTGGGTCAAGGTCAGGATCAAAGGTCAAAGGTCAAAGGTCAGGATTTAAAAAAAAAATTTTTGTCAGTGTGGTTTAGGTAAAAATAAAACAAAAACAAAATGTGCACTATTGTTTCTGGGCTGTACTACGGGTACAAACAAATGACATACACATATATGGTATCACTGCAATCATCAAGAGCTGGAAAATTTATTTTGGGTTGCTCTTTGATGGTAGGTTATGGTAGTAACAAGAAACACACAGCTAAATAAAAAAAAATGTTTTTACTGTTTTGGGCCAGTTTTCCTTTGATAATAAAAAACAAATCAGGAGATATCCATTACCATTTACGACCGATTTGTCCTGAAAAAAAAACAAGGTATAATTCACCTGGATGTACAAAGTAGTTGTGATGATATGTACGCTTTTACTAACACATGTCAGTGTTGCAAAATTGTGCTTAGGCATTTAGATTTGTTTTACCCTTAGGAATGAAGGGGTTAAGCAAGAGGCTTTCCATATTGTTCCATGTACTACTCACCCAATATGAAAAAAACAGCAACAAAACTGGAGCTGATGCCAAGAATAAGAATAACCGATGAAAGCTCGCTGGGTACTATAGGCAACAAATGCAGTCTTGTACTCTCCTTTATATTAATCAGCCCCTGCGCTCTGTACAAAGCCTTGCTCTGGCACTGGGGATGTTGATGCCACATGCAGTCTGTTATCTCTCCGTCTGGCTGATTTTATTCCCCTGGAGGGGCTTCAGGAGACAGTGGCAAACTAACACCAAATGTCAGAGGAAATAAAGTCACATGTACTGCACAGGACACCGCGGAAAGGGCTGAATATTAAATCTCGACTTGTTTACAGCACATGTGTCGTTTAACGCAGCAAGTGCAGCAGCTTCATTGCTCTTAAACAATGTTCACATTAAACAGCATTTCTTCAGATCTATCTATCTATCTATCTATCTATCTATCTATCTATCTATCTATCTATCTATCTATTTTTTTTCTTTCATGCATACAGGTATACATCCTTAAACACATACAGCCCTAAGGCTAGGTTTATACCACACAGGTGCAATGATGTGCAGGTTTCCATGTGTTTTTTTTCATGCATTCCCACGCATCAGATGTAGGGCAACCCATTCAGGGCAGGATATAGCCTGTATGACATGAGGGTGCAGTTAAAAATGTGAGGGGGCAGAAGATGGGAGGGCAGTGTGCAGGGCAGAGGATTAGGTTAGCAGTTTGTGCAGCGGTGCACAGAGGCTATTAGCCTGCAGGGCAGTGTACAGGGTCAGCATGGCAGAGGACAGGGGGCAGCTGGGCAAAGGATGGGAGGTCTACATTGAAGTGTACAGGAATCGGTATGGCAGTGTATAGGGGGTTAGTAGTGCAGAGGACATAGGTCAGTAGGGCAGAGGATGGGGTCAGCAGGGCAGTATACAGGGGTTAGCAGGGTGAGGATAGTGGTCAGCTGAGCTGAGGGCAGGGGTCACTGCTGGCAGGTTTTTTTGGCAGAGCTTCTCCCATTCCTGCACTGCACACAGTCTGGACACAGGCAGAAGTGCTCTTCATCTACACAACACACACACTGTAGCTGAGATTGCATTCTCTTACACACAGCCATGATCTGCACAGTGTGTAGCTGGAGGCTCTGCTGCAGTTCTGACCTATGAAATTTCCTAGTTGGAACAGCAGTGCAGCTGCAGTAGCCAGCTACACTTTGTGCAGATTGTGGCTGTATATAAGGGAATGCAATCTCAGCTATGTGTGGTATGTAGATAAGGAGTGCTGTTGCCTGTGTCCAGACTGTGTGCAGTGCAGGGATGGGATAAGGAGCTCAGTGGCCAGGCACAGCGTCTGGGGTGGACGGAGGAGGGGAGGGCAGGGACTTTGGCTTCTTTTTCTTCTACTGCTTAAAGCCTCAGTTCACCTTCAGGACATGTTACATGTTCCAACCCAGGGGCGGACTGACCATTTGGAAAATCGGGCACTGCCCGAGGGCCTGGGGTCAGTAGGGGGCCCCATGAGATGCCCCTGGTAGCTTTTTCATAGGCTTTTTTGAGTTTGGGCAAGGACACAGGGGCCCCATGATCCCCTATTGCCCGGGGGCCCCATGAGTTGTCAGACCGCCCCTGTTCCAACCATGTTTAGGGTAGCACATGTAACATGTTCTGGCTCCTGCCCCCTCTTTCTGAGAGCAGGCAGGAGTTCTCCCTACACCCACTGTCACTTTTTGAAAAGAGCGTGGCTCTGTGGGGCTTTGCCCACACAGCCGCATCATTCATTCACAGATTCCTGTGAATGAATAAGTTACAAGTACCATCTTCCACAGCGGCAGATGGACTTGTAGTTATCAATGGGCTGTGGGGGCGTTGATGAGTGATATGGTAGTCCACTGACATATCTTCCGGCTTTCAAATACAGGTACAGGCTGAAAGCCAGAAGATATGTTGCAGGTGCCCACATTGCACCTATTATCTACTGATCGCAGGTGCAATACTTTCTCTGTCTCTTGCGGGAAAAAATAATAAATGAACATTTTTCCAGCAAATATATGTGCATTTATTATTTTTTCCATAGAGGTGAACAAGGCCTTTAATCCTGAAGGGATTGAGAGAAGTCTGGAGGATCACAGTATAGGGACCCCTGTGCCAGGACATGTAGAAGCAGTTCTACAGGGCAGAGATGAGAGGTATGCACAGGTCCTTTGCCTCTAAAAATATTGGCAGTGGAAGTGGAGGACCACCAGTTTAGTGGGGTAGAACCGCCTCAGAAGTAAAAACAGGGGCAGCAGGACTGTGTGGGAGAGTGGTGGTGGGTCAGCAGCCTATACAGGGAGCGGCATTGATAGCTCTTCACCCACTGTTCAGCCCAGGAGACAGCAGGAAGAGCCAGGGGATCAGTAGTGCGGTGGTCTTCAGGCCAGGAGATGTGCCAGCAGCTCATTAGTTCGGGTGAAAGCAGGGAATACTCATTGCTTCTTGCCGGAGAGCACACAGCTGTCAGAGGGAGAGGATCGCCAGGCTTCTCAGCAGCAAATACATAACATAGAGATCGCAAAAGGCTGTTAGCAGAGAGGTAGCAACTGAAATCTGGGGGGGGAAGCACCCCCCTAGATCTGGCAATGAGCCCATTCATTTCAATTGGCTGCCCCTATGGAAGAGAAATGCAAAAAGATGTCCCTGACCTGTTTCCAAAATTGCACAGCGCCAGACCACATGCAGTTTGGTGCCTTCGAAAAGCACACGTTAGCAGTTGCAAGGGGGTGCAACTATTAACCATTAACATTAACAATTACCGCATTTTCCGGCGTATAAGATGACTGGGCGTATAAGACGACCCCCTACTTTTCCTGTTTAAAATGTAGTGTTTGGGCTATACTCGCCGTATAAGACTACCCCTCTTCCAGTGCACACCAGTGGGAAGAATCGTGCCCCATCATTGGTGTCAGTGGGAGGAATAGTGCCCCATCATTGGTATTAGTGGGAGGAATAGTGCCCCATCATTGGTATCAGTGGGAGGAATAGTGCCCCATCATTGGTGTCAGTGGGAGGAATAGTGCCCATCATTGGTGTCAGTGGGAGGAATAGTGCCCCATCATTGGTATCAGTGGCAGGAATAGTGCCCCATCATTAGTATCAGTGGCAGTAATAGTGCCCCATCATTGGTGTCAGTGGGAGGAATAGCACCCCATCATTAGTATCAGTGGCAGGAATAGTGCCCCATCATTGGTGTCAGTGGAAGGAATAGTGTCCCATCATTGGTATCAGTGGGAGGAATAGTGCCCCATCATTGGTATCAGTGGGAGGAATAGTGTCCCATCATTGGTGTCAGTGGGAGGAATAGTGCCCCATCATTGGTATCAGTGGCAGGAATAGTGCCCCATCATTAGTATCATTGGGGGGAATAGCACCCCATCATTGGTGTCAGTGGAATAGTGCCCCATCTTTGGTGTCAGTGGGAGGAATAGTATCCCATCATTGGTGTCAGTGGGGGGGGGGGAATAGTGCCCCATCGTTGGTGTCAGTGGGGGGGGGAGGAATAGTATCCCATCATTGGTGTCAGTGGGGGGGAGGAAAAGTGCCCCATCGTTGGTGTCAGTGGGAGGAATAATGCCCCATCATTGGTATCAGTGACACCAACGATGGGGCACTATTCCTCCCACTGACACTTGCTGACCCCTGTTCCAGTACGGTGCTGCTGCAGCCAGCATATGTGGTTGCAGCAGCACCTAAGCACGGCACACTTACCTGCATCTCCACTCGATTTTCGCGGGGCCGCTCAGCTCCGCCTCCTCGCCGGTGATTGGCCGCCTGTGTGCCTTTCCTGAGCTACAGTTCTGGCGGCCAATCACCGGTGAGGAGGCGGAGCCGAGCAGCCGCGCGAACATCCAGTGGACGAACCGAAGGAAGGAGCAGCCACGCTTCCTGGAGCTGATCGTCGTGGGACCGGAGCCAGGTAAGAGACAGCAGCCCCTGCCCACCCTTGTACTTAGTTTCCCTTCTGTTGGAAAGGGGGGGGGGGGGCGGCGGCGGCGTCACCGCGCCGCCCCCCTTAAAAAGTGTCGGCATGCCGTTACCGGCGTATAAGACGTCCCCCGACTTTTGAGAAGATTTTCAAGGGGTAAAAAGTCGTCTTATATGCCGGAAAATACGGTAATGGCACCAACACAGGTCTGCTAAAAGGCAGCATGTTTTTGTGCTTTTGGGAAAAAGATTTTGTGCTTGTTTCTGACAATTTCTCCCTGGTTATTTTTCGCCTCAACTACTGAAACTCTCTCCTTATTGGCCTACCTTCACATAGGCTATTCCCCCTTCAGTCCATCTTGAATGCTGCTGCCAGATATACTCTCCTTACCAACCGTTCAGTGTCTTCTACCCCTCTCAGACAATCCCTCTATTGGTTTCCACTTACCCAACAAGTAATGTCCAAAATACTATCAACATTTTACAAAGCCATCCACAACTCTGCCCCTGGCTACACCACTAACCTAGTCTCAAAATGCCCACCAAATCTTTCTCTTGGGTCCTCACAAGACCTCCTGCTCTCCAGCTCTCTTTTCACCTCCTCCCATGCTCGCCTCCAGGACTTCTCCTGCGCTTCTCCCATCCTCTGGAACTCTTTACTCCAGTCTGTCAAACTATTTCCTCCTTAATCCACCTTAAATTGATCACTCAAAACCCATCTCTTTAGAGCAGCTTCTAACTATTAAACTTTCACTTTCTCCATCAGCTCATCCCCTCCCAGTTATTACCTTTTGTATCACTTGACCCACCCTCTTAGAATGTAAGCTCTAATGCGTATGGCCTTCTGATTCCTCTTGTTTTGAATTGTATTGTAACTGCATTGTCTGCCTTTATTTTGTGATGTGCACGCAAACTGTTGGAACAATATAAATCCTGTATAATAACAATAATAATAATCTAGCTTAAACACGTCCAGCAGTGTATTTCAGCTTGTCATAAACTTTGACAGGCTGGACGCTGCACCTGTGCCTCCTGGGTGCCCGAAAAGTCGGTATTGGATGCACACAGGCTAAACGCCCAGCGTGCATGTGGACTTAATATAATTCTTCACATACCAGCCGCACTGTCTCCAGCGACTTTTATTCCTGAGAAGACGCTGAAGGCCTGTGTTGCATTACTGATATTTTGCTACATTGTTTGTTTGTGTTCTCACAAATCAAATATCATCTTCATACTTTAATTCTGCAGCTGGATGAGTGATTTGCCCCATCAGCAGCCTGTACTCTATCTCTTAGATTTTATTGCCAGGCATCTGTTCTCAGGTCAGAGGTAAGCTAAATAGACGCAGCAATTTTATTAAAGACGATCAAGAGAGATGACGTTAATAACCTCCAGTGTGTATTTTCCAAAATTCTCTACAAAAATGTGTTTTTTTTTAACTAGATGGATTGTGCTTATCTTAGTCAGTAATTCAGAACACAGTTTTATAGACACTGAATGAACACGTTTGGTTTTGCGTCATTTCCATTGTTTGTGTAGTCTCATAAGCCTCTGCCAGTTGTATTCATCAGAACCAGTATGCCAAAAATACCAGTGGTTTTTTTTCTAACTACCAAAAAAGGAGTTAAAGTGTATGTAAACCTAGAAAAAAAAAAAAGGAAATTCTTGTAGCTTACCCCCAGTTGCACATGGCAACATTAACTTTTTCTTGCACAAAGTTTACATTCACTGTTGTTTTTACCTGGTGATCCTGCCAGTAAATGTGCTTCCTGCTTTAGAGTATCAGCTCTCACTCAGTGTTGCTCTGTGCTGAAGGGTGTTGTCACCCTGTGCCAGGGCCTGCCCATACCACCATTGGAGTAGCTATCTATCCAGTTGTATCTGACCCTTGGTGATTGCATGGACTGTCACTTGTAAGCAACTTTTTCTATGAATTCTCTTAGCAATTATTTTACAGTGTAGGTTGCCAGGTCTTTCCCCAACCCCTGCAGGAAATCCCATGTGGCCAGGGATGAAACTAGGACAATTTAGACAGAAGCCAATTAACCTACCAGCATGTCTTTGGAGTGTGGGAGGAAACCAGAGTACCTGGAGGAAATCCACGCAAACACAGGGAGAACATGCAAACTCCATGCAGGAGATGCTATGGTTGGGAATTGAACCCATGACCCAATTACTGCAAGGCAGAAGTGCTAACCACTAAGCCATTGTGCCGCCCATTGGAGTAGTACCCACTGATAATTAAAGTTCCTGGATTAGCTACAATGAAGAAAGTTCCTCACCATCCAGCTTGAATAAAGGTAAGTTTACTTGGCAAAAAAATCCCCTTTCCCCTTCTGAACAACAGTCTGACACTCCCTTAATTTTGAGAGTTAAAGGGTTTACTTTAAAGCAAACCTGTCACAAGCGAAATGCAGCACTACCCCCACAGGAGCCGCTTGTATTTTAGCTTTGCTTTGCCCCACACAAGGTATTTTCTATAGCTAGGTACACACACACTTACTTTTACTCGCTGTCTTCACTGACCAGTCTAAGGGATGTTGTTTTTGATGTTTTATTGTAGAACTGGGGATAAGGTTTGGGAACTTTAGTAGGATACTCCAAGATTAGAACTATTCACGTCAAAGGACATCTAACTGATCTCTTCTTAGTTAGGCACGGCTGAAGTCCTTGCTGAAAGCAGATAGCCAACTTCCCTTTAGACCACGATTGTCAAACTGGCGGCCCTACAGCTGTTGCCAAACTACAAGTCGCATGGGGAATTGCAAGACTAACAGTTACAAGCATGACTCCCAAAGGCAGAGGCATGATGGGACATGTAGTTTTGCAACAACTGGAGGGCCGCCAATTTGACACCTCTGCTTTAGACTGTAGCAACAAGCAGGTTCGAGTTGAGCAAAGTCCCTTGCAGTAGCAATAATTAGACAAGCTCTTCAGAATGTTAGCCAGTGTTTTCTTTTCTCAGACCTACGCTGACTATCAAGCCCCCAAGATCTCTGTGTCTGTACTCACAATGCCCAAGGATAGAATGATAGCCTCCTTCCAATCTTCCCAGCAACGCCCTTCAGTGACACCAGACAGATCCTTTGCAGACAGCCCCCCTCAGTCTGCATACTGAAAAACCAGGGTCCTTCCTTCTAGCTTCAGGCCCTCAGGTCACCCACCTGAGGCCGCATGGCAGCAAGTGCCAGGTGAGGCAAGCCTGCCTCCAGCCTGGCTTGGTGCAATCCTCTCCAGGGAAAGACTCAGAGCCCATGTGCTCGTAGAACATAAATACCGCTCCCAGCATGCAACGAGACCACCCTCTCCTGCAATTGGCCAGGACTGCATCCATATTCATTCTGTTAATTTGCGTAGCTCCCATTCAGGTTCCGGAAGGCTCAAGTTGTTTTTCATACAGCAAGTGGGTACTCAAGAAAAACTAAAAAACACACCAGACCATCATGAGCAGACGTTACTAATCCATCTCAGCTCTCTGTTAAACAGGATAATTAGTTAATTAGGTTTTCCTGACAGCCTCTCTGATAAGCAAAGAAACACGGCTATACTTATCCTACCTGTATAAATCATAGCACCTAACTAGGAGGGTGCTACAGAAACATGGAGATTGTTATTGCTAACCGTTCCTTCAAAATGCTAGTTGCCTGGCTGTCACATCCTCTTGTTTTGAAACTTTGAGTTATTTCCCCGCAAGTGTGCAGATAAACACTTAACTTTTCTTGGACTTATCAAATCTGCATCCCTGGAATCTGTTCCAGGGCAGTGACACCAAATGTATTGTAGTCAGGGGGTTCACATTATAGACAACTGGCATTTTTAATAGGAGGTTAGCAATAGTAGCCAACATGTTATCTCATTACTGATTCATTTTTAAAGTGGCCACAAACATTAATGGACAATCACACATGCAAGGACAACCTGAAGTGTGCAAAAAATTAAGAGGATACAGACGTCCACAAGGTTGTCTGCTCCACTAGACTGCTGTTGTAAGTTGTTGTAAATGGAGAATAGGGTGCGAGAGAGAGCAGAGTGGAGGCTACTGAATTATCAGGAGGAATAAAGATTTCTAATTAGCCCAGTCACTGGGATCTGTAAATAGTGGCCAGCTGGCAGGCTGGCCATCCTACTATTAGACAGACATCTTACTTTTTTATGGTTTATTGTTATGTTTTAAGCCAGCTATAGATGAACTGATCTGCTAAACTGGCTGAGATTCGATCCATCAATGGGCAGGCTTGTTGTACCCAAGTTGATCCATTGATTGACCTGGGTACAACCAGCCTGCTATATTTTTTACACTTAATTACTTCTGGTGGCTATACCCTCTAGCAGCAATCATCGTGTTCTGCTGGCAGGCAAGACTTCCCCTTGGCAGAACAAAATGGCTCCATAGGAGACAACACTGACTGTGTGGATTGGGAAATCGAGCGATTTTCTCTCCTTCCTGTGTTGGAAGGAAAGAAAATCATATAATCTATGTCCTGCTTTATTGTTTGTTGTAAATTTCCTTTGTGCGACATACCACCTAAGACTTAAGCAGCCCATAGATGATTTGATTTTCTTACCTTTCTCCATGGGTGAAAGGAAAGAAAATCGCTAAATTCCCCTATCAACACAGTGGAGGAATTCCCTGTCAACACCTTCACAGCCTTCCTTGCCACCAGAACACAATGATTACTGCTAGCGACTATAGCCACCGGCAGTAATCATATGTAGAAAATCTGACAGGCTGGTTGTACCCAAGTCGATTGATGGATCAACTTGGGTTCATTCAGTCTGTTTATACATGAGTCGAATCTTGGCCAGTCCAAGACAGATTTCGATCCATGTATGGCCATATTCGGTGTATATAGTGGATATTGTGGATTTACACAGTGACACAGTCAATGGTGGAGAAGGATCTGGGAGTTCTGGTGGATCACAATCTTGCCTCTTGGGGAATCAGGAAGGATTTTTTTTTCCCTGCAGGAGCAAATTGAATCATGCCTTGCTGGGTTTTTTGCCTTCCTCTGGATCTACTGTGGGTATAGGATTATTACTTTTTTTTTTTTAATGGTTGAACTGGATAGACTTTTGTCTTTTTTCACCCAGACTAACTATGTAACAAACTAGTGTACTTTAAAATACATGTAAACTCTATGACATTGCTGATGTTGGAATTTTCCCTATAAGACAAAGCAGTACAACCCATATAGGTCCCAACTGTTTCTGATTTCTAGGGACTGCCTCTCTTTTGAAACCAAGTCCCTCCATTCCTATTTCTTCCTCATTAGTCCCTCTTTTTGGTCTGATGTATAGACCCCTTTAAAGAAATCTACTATTTAGAAGTGTTGTATTGCAATAAACCGTAAATCCAGCCACTAAATTATTGAATGTATTAGTTTGAAAAGTAAGTATAAAGGTAAAGTGTGTGTGGGGGGGGGGATACACATACAAAAAACCCCCCAAAAAAAAAAAAAAAACACTCCTATGATACCCATTGGCACCTGTAGTCATTCAAAACCAATGGAATATTCTGGTGACTGATGTTTGCTCAAGAATTTGGGATGAATTGTCTGAACCAATGTGTAACATTTATTACCGATATTCTGTGATGTGGATGACACTGCCGTCTAACAGCTGACAGCATGTCTAATCTATGATTTCCTTCTGGCTGGAGCTGTCACTGGCTATATTCCTGCATTTGATTGAGCGAGTTGGCAAGGCTTACCATTGTGATAATGTATTGTTTGAAATGTATTCAGTCAGTATACATATTTTAAGGTTGCCTATTAAATGAAGGTGAAATGTCACTGTTAGAAAATATCCAACTCATCCTGCCTTAATAAAGAACTGCAGCCCTTTTTTTAACCCATTCATGCCCAGAGTTCATTGAAGCCGACTGTAGATGCCTAGTCCAAAATTAGCAACGTCTGTATGCAATGGTCAAGTTAACTTGTCTGTGAAAGCTATCTTTCCTTCTTAATGCTATGGGTGGGGGACCCTCTAGTCTCTTTATATTGCTGTGTTGATTAACTCAGAGGATATACAGACAAATCTGGAAATCCACCCCACCAAGTGGAGAGGACAGCAAGCCACTGTTTAGGGCTTCTTTTCCTGGAGACCCCTCTTTCCAGTGTTTTGAGTGCTCTTTACACTGGGATTGGCGGAGAGAAATGTGCATGTTTTCTATTTGAGAGTGGCATGCAATCATATTGATAATAACTTTCTGATATTGTTATTATTGTATACACTTCTATACTGAGATTAATTTTATGAAGCATATTGCTTATCGTTGTGGGGTTTCTCTCTTCCTGAAGAGGCAAGCATGGCTCAAGAAACGCGTAGATATATGGGACACTTGTATTGGATATTTCATCTGTTTTATCTGTTTCTATGGATGGTTATGGGGATATTCTTCATACCCATCAATTTTGATGTAAACCTTTACTAGTTTTATCCAGTGGAATGAATTCAAATTCCTAGTTTTCAAAGCTTTATGGACAATAAGATTGTGATATTCTTTCATTTATTTTTGAGTTTTGTGTTGTATTTTCTTCTATTTGCTGGTGTTGATACGCTGGACTACCTCAATTCTTTTGATCAAACTAGTCTGTCTAGCTTGCCTATGACTTAATGAATAACTTGCACACTTAAATAATGTTTACATGTTTAAAGTTTTTATATATTTTAAAGTACATGTAAGTATGCTATTTGGTACCTTGTTGTAATAAAACCCTCTTTTATTATAAGTTAACAAATAGACAAATATGTAAAAAAAACAAACATATATATATATATATATACACACACACACACTATAGTGCCAAAAGTATTGGGACACGCTTGCCTTTACACGCACATTTAATGGCATCCCAGTCTTAGTCTGTAGGGTTCAGTATTGAGTTGGCTCACCCTTTGCAGCTTTAACTCTTCTGGGAAGGCTGTCCACAAGGTTTAGGATTGTGTCTATGGGAATGTTTGACCATTCTTCCAAACTGCATTTGTGAGGTCAGACATTGATGTCGGACGAGAAGGCCTGGCTCACAGTCTCCGCTCTAATTCATCCCAAAGGTGTTCCATAAGGTTGAGGTCAGGACTCTGTGCAGGCCAGTCAAGTTCCTCCACCCCAAACTCGCTGATCCATGTCTTTATGGACCTTGCTTTGTGCACTGGTGCGCAGTCATGTTGGAACAGAAAGGGGCCATCCCCAAACTGTTCCCACATAGTTGAGAGCATGAAATTGTCCAAAATGTCTTGATATGCTGACACCTTAAGAGTTACCTTCACTGGAACTAAGGGACCAGCCCCAACCCCTGAAAAACAACCCCACACCACAATCCCCCCTCCACCTAACTTTACACTTGGCACAATGCAGTCAGACGAGTACCGTTCTCTTGGCAACCGCCAAACCCAGACATTCCCAGCGGATTGCCAGACAGAGAAGTGTGATTCGTCACTCCAGAAAACACATCTCCACTGCTCTAGAGTCCAGTGGTGGCGAGCTTTACACCACTGCATCCGGCGCTCTGCATTGCACTTGGTGATGTAACGTTTGGATGCAGCTGCTCGGCCATGGAAACCCATTCCATGAGGCTCTCTAAGCATCGCCGTTGTGCTAATTTAAAGGCCACACAAAGTTTGGAGGTCTTTAGCTATTGACTCTGCAGACAGTTGGCGATTTCTCTGCGCACTGTGTGCTTCAGCATGCGCTGGCCCCGCTCTGTCATTTTACGTGACCTACCACTTCGCGGCTGAGTTGCTGTTGTTCCCAGTTGCTTCCACCTTGTTATAATACCACTAACAGTTAACCATGGAATATTTAGTAGCAAGGAAATTTCACGGATGGACTTATTGCACAGGTGGCAACCTATCACAGTACCATGCTTGAATTCACTGAGCTCCTGATAGCGACCCATTCTTTCACAAACGTTTGTAGAAGCAGTCTGCATGCCTAGGTGCTTGATTTTATATACCTGTAGACATGGAGGTGATTGGAACACCTGAATCCAATGATTTGGAGGGTTTCCCAATACGTTTGTAATATAGTGTGCATATATATATATATATATATATATATATATATAGGAATACATTTGTATTACTATCATTGTATCAGGCAACAGCTGTATTAAACAGAACCACACTTCTAGCTGCTGTGGCCTATGCAAGCTAAAACCACTGTTTTTTCTAATGAAGCCTTTAGCTTGCGCATGATTACTATGTCATAGCGGACATGTAAGAAATCTAGGACTGCACGACCACAAGGGTGCATGCTAGAGCTAAACAATATTTATTAAACGCAAAACAAAAATGTCCCATAAATGGATGCACTCCTACAGCACATTCTGGAGGCAGTAGATCATAACAAACTCAAATTTAGTTAAATTGACTAAAACATCCAATTTAATAATTTATACATAAACAGGTATTACATATTCTAATTAAAATGGGATTTGGTAAGGCTGACCTCTGATCAACTCCAGGCAAAACTTTTTAATTTGTTTTGGATAGAGAGGGGAGAGATTATAACCTCTACCAAAATTGTATTGCCATCCGTGTCCCTTTCGGAGTGATTTCCCATCAATTCCTTGCAGGTTTATGGTGTGAAGGGAAATCTCTCTAACAGAAATACAGACAGAAGCACATTTTTAGTAGAGTAAGGACAGATCAGAGCTATCGATGATGTTTTTATTGCCCATGACTTCCTGCCCACTCGATAAAGCCACACAATCACATTGGTCACTGAGGCAATCCAATTATTGTAATGGTGTAATAGGAATGTATAGGAGACAGGGGAGGGCAGATTAGGACAGCCTGAAATGGGGATGACTGAAATTTGATACCCGTATATATAGGCAGCTTTACCTGCCTAGGTTTCTGTCCACCTCTTCTTAGCCAACCTGAACTCTAAACATCCCCTTCAGCAGAGATCATGAGACCAAAGTTCTAAGTTTATGATCATGTGAGCAACACTGTAGGGAGCCTGCAGCAGCATTTCCTTCAGGAAAAGGTATTTTTTTTCCTTATTTATCCAGTTCACAAAGAGTGTAAGATATGTAGCTTTACGTTAACATGTGAGTACAGGGCAGCTTTAAGGTTGATAGTTTCACTACAGTGCATGGTTTAAAATATTCTACTCTGTATTCCAAGAATGACCTGGAAGAATCAGGATTATTTTTAGTGGCACATGCATCAGAGTTATATATAAAACTGGAAGTGACACAGGTCTCTCTCGAGGGAGTCTGAATGACGAGTGACTTTCCAGAGTATTAATGGACAATCTCCAGGTTGGCTCTGTAATTGATTGATTACCAAACTATTTAATGGAGGCATTTTAATGATCTCACTGGTGGAAAGTCATTTACATGTTACATTAAAGTGCAAACCTCAGGTTTCCTAAATGAGTATTACTACACTGACAATAACTATTCTGAGAATTTTAAGGAAGCCTGTACTGAGAGAAACACTCTATGTAGGCTGTTTTGCTGGGCTCCTTCTGAAAAAGCTACTTTCCTGGCAAAAGATGGCTACAATTATTTAATAGGAAGTGAGGATAAATCTGTCAAGTAGAGACAGAGATAGCAATAAAAACTTGACAGGTCCCCATGTGGCATCTAAATTAAATAACTATTTTGGCTGGAGTTGGGCTTTATTACTGAACTCTGGGTTTAGCAAATAATGTCTAAATTCAGTGTGCCCTCATATCAGGTGTCCCCATCAGGGTGCTTCCTTACCAGGGGCGGACTGGCAATTCATGGGGCCCCCGGGCAATAGGGGATCATGGGGCCCCTGTGTCCTTGCCCAAACTCAAAAAAGCCTATGAAAAAGGTACCAGGGGCATCTCATGGGGCCCCCTACTGACCCAGGGCCCTCGGGCAGTGCCTGAGTTTCCAAATGGTCAGTCCGCCCCTGCTCCTTACAACAGGTGTCCCCATCAGGGTAACCCCTTATATCAGATTCCCCCGTCATAGTGCTCCCATCTATCAGCTGGCAAAATCATAGTGCCCACTTACATCAGGTGTCCCCATCAGAGTGCCCCCATACATCAGATACCCTCATCTGAGTCTCAGTATAGATTAGTAGAGTCCATTAGAGCCAGGCAGGGGTGGAAGCTGGGAGGAGAACTATGCTGCAGGGGGTGAGGCATACACGTGACATCATTAGTTGCTATGATGCCGGAATTCCTAACAATCAATGACTGCAGTTTAGTGAGGATCCAGCACAGCAGAGTGGTGGGCTGATAATCTGGACTGAGTTGTCAGTAGGTCTAGATCCGGACCGGGGTATGCTATTTAGTGAAGGCTGCTGTGCAGCATAGTAGTGACGTCACTGCTACTATTACAAGGAAATAAAATGGATTGAAAAGAATATGGTGTACACTATATTCTTTTGAATTTATACAGCATTGTATAATTTAAGAAATATATCTAAATTCAAGTGTTTTTCTCTGGAGTTTTAGGTAATAGGTTAAAGGTCACTCATTATTACATACACTTTAGTTTTTAACACTTTTAAACCAAGCCTGTGCTGAAGCAATGGGAACGCTTTAATTCCTCTACTTCAGCAGTATATATTTACCTTTCCTTTGTCACCCCATTGTTCAACAGAGACAAGAGCCAAAAGAAATACTCAATACTTCCAGGTATGGCGGAGCATAGTATGGAGGAGCATGTGACACAGTCCATGTGACAGCGCTGGGCCAATCAGAGTTGTAAAAGAAGATGCTCTAAGTTTACCCTTCTGGTGGTTTGTTTAAAAAAAATTTCATGTTGCTGTTCTCTGGCCACTACAGTTATTCAGCGCTGTTGGATGCTTATTCCCCCCATGAATCATGAAATAAGGAAGTACAAGCCTAAGAGAAGAGCTACATCTCACAGCCAGGCAGGGAGGTTTACATCAATGTTAAAAACCTAAAGTAGTCAGTTCTCTTTGTTTTGCCCAGTCAGTCTTCATTGCAATACTGTCCTTGTCTTCAGCACTGTGTCCAGCAGAAACTCTGCTCTGCTGCCGGTGTCCATCACGGTAAATAATGCCAAGCCCCATTCAACCCACTTCGTTTGATTCCAGGCTGTCATGGACATACAGTTTCTATGAATAAGATGTGATCTTATATTGGAGGAGACAGACCTTTCAATCATCTGCCCATCTCCAACGTCTTCCACTTATATATCTATGAATGGAGGTGCTGGTTGGAAAAGACTGGCAAAGCCAGGCACACTTGATGATTGTCTCTCAGAGCTTTTCCTGTTCTATCAACCCCCACTGCACTGGAAGCTTATGGTGGTGGGGTAAGGAGAGGACGGAAACTGAAAACTTCAAGGAACACAGGAGCCAGGAGCGCAGAGGACATATCAGATTATTATTAACGTATGTCCCCTGTGCTGATTATTGCTTTTTATAATTTTGACTAAACTCAAGTTGCCCATAAGTGGTTCAAAATGTGTCCAGTTCCATCTATGGCCCTTCCTGCTCAACAGAAGCTGATCTAATGATGGGCTTCTGTCGAAAGTGACTGATGGAAAACATTTGTCAGTCAGCAGCTTGCAGCCTATCTGCTACATGTTGCTGATCAGTGTATTCTGGTAGTAGAAGAGTCAGAACACAGTAACACAGTGGAGAGGATTCCTCAATCTACTCTGTTTGTGTGGATGGGGGAATCCATTTATTTTTCCAATCAGCCCACTGGCTGCTAAAAAAAAAAAAACAGAGAACCCTCTATGTTCAGCCTTCAGCTTTAAAAAGTGTAACAGAAGCTTGGCTTTAATTTGTTAGTCAAGTTCTAAGTCAGCTAGTCTAACACTACCCTCTTTCCAGAAGGACAAGGCTGCTGTGCAAAGGTGTCTCCTTTTCTCTCCAGTGCGATAGAGACACCCTATGATAGATAGGAAGTGTGTTGGCAGCCAGATTACCAGGTCAAAATAAAGGGGAAAAAATCTACAAAAAAGAAAATGAATGCAGCCACTACATTTAAGGGTTGGTAAGCTGCAATCTATTAATATATTTTTTTTGGGGGGAGGGGGGGTTTAGTTGGCTTTAACTTTCATCAGTGCTGAGAACAAATAGCAGTTATACCATAATACACACTTTAAGTTTGATAATTAAGACTTGGGCACACATATTTTGTATTTAAAACGATCTTTGGTCTTCACAAAAGTTTTTTGATAATTTCTAATGGCATGGCTGTAAAGACTGCATAATATATCTGACAATACCTATCTTTACATATCTGAACATTACAATTCGCTATGACAGCAACACATAAATAATCACTCAATGCCTATAGAAATGTCTTGGATACCCTTCATACTGTATCTCTCTGAAGTAGTTCTATTGAAAGACAATCATTTCCGTTCTTGCACAAATACAGCATGTGAAATTCTCAGGAATGCCATACATTCTCCCAGTCTTCCCATGTGAAGTTCCCATACAATACCAGATAATCAGTGGTATGATTGTCCGCTAATTACCTCTTAAATGGGAATTATCTGTGTAAAGATAGCGTACATTCTTCACACATTATTTCCTAATTACCGTGGGAAAATATTTCCAGGGCTGACTTTATATTGACAGAAACTCCATTACAACTGCCTACTTTTAAAACCCAAATCCAGGCAGATATAATCACATACATAAATACTGTTCTCTATCGCCTAAAAAAAAAATGAAAGCACCAAAAATATTAAACTCTGTGCAAACAGATACAGAAGAAATATTATTAGATATATTGATAAATTAGATATACTGTATATTAGACCTGTTTTTCATGCCAAAGAATTTGCATTTCTATCCATCCAGCACAGCTTTGCTACACAGCACAGCCATATTTGGCAAGGCAAGAGACCTGATCTTCTCTACTGCAGTTGAGTAACACTTACAGGTCTTGTCCCTCCCCAATCCTGTGAATGGACAGTGAAAGGAGAAGCAGCAGACTGATGAGCTCATCTCTGTC